ATGGAGGAATGGAGTCCCGGAGAGGAGAGCGGCCCTGCCAGGGGTGGTGGTGATTCCCAACTCAGCAGTGTAAGGTCCAATGCTGGCTCCTCTGTGGCCACGGCCAGTGGCTTAACCTCGCCGTGCCTCAGTTTCCCCATGGACCCGGTGGGGATCGCCCAGGGCCCAGGCGGGATGCAGCGCAGTGCTGGCGGTGCTGTCCCCCCCGCCCCATGCGCCCTCAGAAACCTGGAGTGGGAAGTAGTGACTCAATAGCCACCAACCAGGCGCCGGGGCACAGGCGGCTCTCGAAGAATGCGGCGATGGAGCAACCGGCCTTGCTCAAGGTGGCCGGGCCGCCGTCCCTCCTGCGGCCAGGTTGCCCAACCGGCCCACAGCGGGTTTCGTCAGCGGCCTCCCTCAGGGGCCCGGGTGGCTGGTTGTGCAGGCTGGGCAGGGCGGGGACACCTGGCACGAAGCCACCTGCTGTCCCCAAGTGCCTGCTGGGGGCCGGGCCTGTGCAACGGGGCAGTGGCCGAGACCAGGGTCCTGCCAAGGAGGCTGAGCACGTGGCCACCAGGCAGCGGCGGTGACATGGGGCATGGACGGAACCCCAACTCCTGCTTGGAGAGGACTTGGCCTAGGGCTCAGGGCTCACAGCGCTGTCCTGTCCCTCTCCAGGCCCCAGGGCAGGGCGGTGCCTCCCATCACTGCCACTAGAGCCAGTTTCCTCCCTGTGTAACATAGGAGGGCCTGGAGGGTGGGGACACCGAGGAGGCCGCTAGCTGTCGGTGTCTGGACTCAGCCAAAGCCCCTGGCCCGTGGGACACCTGCCCTGCCAGTGCCAAGTGTCGGGAGGGGCTGCCAGCCTGGCCTTAGCTTTGCGTGATGCTTGGGCTAAGCTGGGGACCTGGGGCTGTGTACAGATGGGCCAGGGGCTCCCCTGGCCTGGGCATAGCCCTCAGCAGGGGCCGTGCCTGCTGCTGGCGACCACCAGGCCACACAGCCTCGCCCACTACCTGCCAATCACACCCGAGGATTTGCGTGGCCATTACGAAATGCCGGGGGCTGGGTCACCCGTGAGGGACAGGGTCCAAGTGGCTCCTGGCTCTGCAGCCTGGGAAGCCTGAGATCCTCACCAAATCTGGTGAGGGTGGGTGTGGGGTTGTGACAGGGCAGAAGATGTCACCGGGAGAGGCAAGAGAGGGCAGAGGAGGAAGAAGATGGAGGAGCAAGAGGAGGGGACGCGAAGATGGGAGAGGAGCAGGAACAGAAGGAAGGGGCGATAGAGGAAGAGGAAGCTGGAGAAGAAGAGGAAGCTGAGGAAAAGATGGAAGGGGAAAGGAGGTGGAGGAGGAGGAGGAGGAAGTGGGTGAAGGAGGGGGAAGAAGTGGAGGAAGATGGAGGAGGGCTGATGGAGGGATGGAGGAGGGTGGGAGAAGAGGAACAGGGAGAGAGGAAGAGCAGGGCTGGGAGGCGGGCAGGAAAAGCCTCTTGAAGCTGCCACCTCGCTGCTCGGTCCCCGGGACGGTTTCCATCGCACCCCAAGCCCAGTTCGGGCCACGCTGCTCTGAGGCCCTCTGGGCATGCCGAGGTCCTTGGCTGTGCAGCCTGAGGGCCCCACAGAGGAGGGGAGCTGGTGGCCATGGGGAGGACAGTGTGAGGGGCAGGGGACCCGCGGCGCCCCGTGGAGTGCAGGTGGACGTGGCCGGCCGACAGCCTGTGGGTACTGTGCCGTCGGCCCCGTTCTCGTGAACAGAAGCAGGACAGAGGGAGAGTGAAGGCTCCTCCAGCCGCTGCTCCACACCACCCCACTCCACTGTGTGCTCAGTTTGCAGGGCCAGGTGGAGCCAAGCAAGGACAGAGAGGGGACCGTGGAGGGCACCTCAGCCTGACCTTTAGGGACAGAGCCGTCCCCTCTGATGCAGCCCTGCGCTGGAGAGCATTATTACTTTGAGGTTGTGGGGACGGACCCCAGGGCCTTTGGCCCTGAGCTACATCCCCAGCTCCTTTCCCTTTTTATTTATTATTTTTAAAATCTTTTAAATTGACCAAACTTGGCTGGAATTGTGATCCTCCTGCCTCAGCCTCCCAGAGTGCTGGGAAGACAGGCGTGTGTCACCAGGCCAAGCTCCTAATGGACAGGAATTATTTCTTATCATAAACATTTTTAAGAGGATAAATCATTACCTTGGTTTAAAAAAAATCAGACAAAAAAGTGGGTGGGTTTGAACAGCACCTATCTCTCAATGACCAGAGCTATGACTTGATCTTTGTCTCATTTCTAGTTTCTCACTTGACACTGAAATGAATCCACTAGGAACCAACAGGTTTGTTTTTGTTTTTTTTTTCCCTACAATCAAATGAATTGTAAAGAAAAAGCAATATTTTCAGGTGAGGGAGCCTCCCTGCCCCTGTCCAGCCAGAGCCCAGGCAGAGGAGAAGCCATCAGGGGGTGGGGGGCAGGGTGGGTCAGTCAGGAGCCAGATGGCACAGAAGGGTGCCCAGGAGACTTGCGGAGGCCGGGCCTGGGTGCTTCCCTGCAGCCTCCTGAACAGGACAAAGGCCAACACTGGTCTGTCCAGGGATTTGGGGAGCACTGACACAAGAACGTGGTGACAGGGACCGGTAGAATCAAGGGTGGCTTCTCAGAGGTGGTTGTGTTTGTGCTGGGCCTTGAACTAACTTCAGGAGTTCACCAGGCTCTGTGTGAGGCAACTACAAAGACTGCAGGGCAGTAACTGCCACAGTTTGGGTCTTGAATGCCCCCAAAAGGTCATGTGTTGGAAGTCGGCGCCATCTATAGGAGGCGGAAGTGGTGGGAGGAAGTGAGGTCTTTGGGGTGTGGCCTAAGAGGGGATACTGGGACTCCGCCTCTTCCTGTCTTTCTCTTCACTTCTGGCCTCACAAAGGGAGCAGCCTCCTCTGTCCAACTCTTCACCATGATTGCCACCCCACCACAGGTCCAAAGCAAGGTGGCCAAGAGACCATGGACCGGAGTCCTGAATCCAAGAGCCAGAGTAATCCTTTCCTGCTTTAAATTGATGGTATTCGGGATTTTGTCATAGCAGCAGAAAGCTGGCTGACTCAGTGACCACAGGGGCTCCAGACTCACGCGGGACTCAGGCCCCAGACACGGAATCCCAAAGGTTTGAATTTCAGGACGACAGTATAAGCTGCTTAAACACCTGTGATGTGTCCACGCACTCGATTACCACTCCACATTGTGTACATGTGTATTTCCCAGCAGCATGGTGTACATGGTAAATATATATCATTTTATAAGTGAATGAAAAACATACAAAACTTTTTAAAACCATCACAGCGGGGCGTGGTGCTGCACTCCTGTAATCCCAGCATTCAGGAGGCTGAGACAGGAGGATCACGTTGAATCTGTGACCAGCCTGGGCTACATAGTGAGTTCAAGATCAGTCTGGACTGCAGATCAAGACCCTGTCAACCCAGGTTTCCCATGTCCTGTCAGGGGCAGCACTTGTTGGACTGTCTCAGTGATCATCATGACAGTGACCCGTACTCTTCACCCAGGCCAGTACTCGAGGCACCAACCACCTTGTTTAACCCTGGGCCGCGCTGCAAAGGGCTTCTGTGGCAACCAATAGACCCGGGCCAGCAGGAGCTGCCATGGAGAAGGGCTTTCAGTGACTCCGAGACCTGGGTGAGTCCGCCCCATGCTGGTCTCAGTTTCCCTACCTGTAGACCAAGGACACATCTGGAGCACAGGACATAAAGTTCATCCAGTGCCTTGTGCTGTGGCCACCATGCCACCATGTTGTGCTGGTAACCAAGGAGCCGGGGCTGTTTACCGGGGCTTCTGACGGCAAACCCTTGACCCAAACCGTTGCACAACGCTGGTCCTGGTCAGAAGAGCCTTTGCACCAGAGCTCAGGTCCCCTGAGTCCCCATGGCCTTATCCCAAGATGCCAAGCTCCCCACGTGTGGCAATAGGGCCTCCAAGCAGGGTCACCTCCCTGTGCCTGCGTGGAGATTGCTAAACACCACCAGGGAGCTTGTGACAAGGCCGGGACAGCCGTGTCCCCCATGCCCACCCGTCCTGCCACCCCTGCCACCTGTCCCCTCTACCCAGAGTGGCCATGGAAGTCTGGGCTCCCCAACCCCATAGTGCCATGGTGGGGACAGCCCGCCCCCTCTCTGAGCCCCAGTGTCGCCCTCTGCAACCTGGGTCACCATCCCTGCAGCTCAGGACACCACGGCATGAAGGGTCTGGCCCACGGGGTGCCGGGCACTGCCGGTGTCCCAACGACCTGCGGAGGTCTCTGGACCTCAGTCCTTACCCCAGGCGTGAGATCCAATGATCACTGGGGACCTCTGTGGCTCTCAGTGACCCGGGCTGGTACAGAGCTGAGGTGGTCGTTGAGTGGTCAGCTCAGTGTCCTTGTTGGTCTGGAGTTCCCAGGTCATGGTGGTGAGGCCTAGGGCTGCCTACCGCAACTGGGGCAGGAGGGGCATCCATCCCCTTGGGGTCCCACAGGGACACAGCTGCTCCCTGGTTGCCACCAACACATCAGCCCTTCCCGGGCCACTTTTAGCCACCTTTTTGGCACCAGCTGTCACTGGCTTCTTATTTGATCTCTGTGTTAACTGAGAAACAAGTACATGCTCTGCGGGGAAGGGCTGGGGTCAGCTGTGCCTGGCGCCGGGCCTCAGCCAACTCAGTGGAGATGCCAGGGTGTGGCCCACCTCCAAGACAGCCCCCCGCTGTGTCCCCAGCGTGTCTGCTCCTGTGCACAGCTCACCAGTGGGATCTCGGCAGATGACAGGTGGCTTCTGGCCCGGGTCGCTGCAGGCCTGGCAGCCTCTGCCCGGCTCCTCCAGGTTTTTGCTTTGGTATCCACAGCCTAACATACGGGAAGGGGCCACCCCTCGGAGCTGCACCGCAGCCACCTGGAGCTTTGATAGCACTCTGGGGGAGGCAGCTGCCCTCGGTGGGGACCCCAGCAGTGGAGTCTGCACTGCCATGCGTCCGGTCGGCTGAAGCCGTGATGCACAGTCCCCTGGGCGGGCACCGAGACAGGAACGGTGCAGACAGATTCTCTCCTAGACCTGGAGGCTGAGTCAGACCCTCAGCCACTGGGGCTGCTTCCAGAGAGGCCTCCTGCTGGGTGTGGCTGTGTCTCACCCTCCCTGGATAAGGGTGCCTGTCCTTTGGGTTCACAGCCATCTCCATGGCCTCACTGAATCTCACTGCCTCCTTGAAGGCCCTGCCTTGACATGGTCACCCTGGGAATTTGGAGGGTACCAGGCCGCGCTTCATGGGTGTGGGCCACCTCGGAGGGTACCACGAAGCCCACTCCGACTTCAGATGGTGCAGCCCCAGCCGATGGAGGTCTTGTTTTCTTTTTTCCTCCCTCCCTTTCTCCCTCTTTCCCTTCCCTCTTTCTTTGAGACAGGGTCTTACTATGTTTCCCAGGTTGGCTATGAACTCCTGGACCCAAGCGATCCTCCTGCCTCAGCCTCCCAGGCAACACAAACCATCAGAGCACAATGCCGCCATGTCCAGCACCAGCTCAATTCTGGACGTATCCTCACAAAACTTTTGGAGGCAAACCTGCCTAAGCAGACTCTGTGCAGGGTGGAGTTGCTGTGGCAGCCCGCTCAGTCCACAGGTAACCCTGTGAGGATACCTGGGTCAAGCCCTAACCCAAGGCATGGGAAGTGCCCCTTCAACAATCTGAGGTGTTTATCCACTGAGAGACAAGCACATTCTGTTTCCTTTCTCACTGTACTGCCCCTCTCATTTCCCATGTACCTGCACCAAACCCCTCTCTCAGGCTCTACCCCCTGTGATCCCGCCTAAGACCTAGGGGATCAGACTCCAGGGCCACCCTAGGAAGTTCCCTCTGTGATTCTCTACCCACCCCACCTTCCCTAGCTTCTCTCCTGCTTTGCATCCACAGTGTCCTTCCCTCTGGCTCCTGGCTTTGGTCAAGGGGATGCACTCAGGAGGGAAAGGGGATGACGGAGGATCTAGGGTTTTCTGGCTCCCTCCCGGGGCCGATACCAGGCTCCTGTCTGGCCGTCCTCTTCCCATAGCTGTCTACCTTTCCATGTCCTGGTGACTTGGTCACTGTGCATGGTCAGAGGTCCTGTTCTACCCTGTGACCTCCCCATACCTTGCCCACCCCTTGGTCAACAATCCCTTTAGTAAACACTCTCCAAACTCCCGACCCGAGTGTGCTGCTGCTTCCTGGAGGTGTCCTGACACAATTCCATGTGTGTTCCATGCCCTGCTGTGGATGGAGCAGACACATTTCTCCTGGGTGGCTGCAGAGGCTGCCAGTGACTGTCCCTCCAGAAACCATGTCCTTCCTTGGGCAGCAGACTGGGCAGCAACTGAGCTGCTTTCTGCCCACCGTGGGGGAGGTGGGGCCTTAGAAATGCCAGTTGACTCATGGATAAGCCCATTGGCTCTTTGCATTCCCTAAACATAGTGATTGGGCAGGCAGTATGTCAGGTGACCCTGGCTGGCCCAATCAGATTAAGTTTGGAGACTGACAGGCGCTGCCCACAGTGTCTGGTCTGGGACACCTCAGCTGTCCTGGGCTTTTGGGGCTGTGTAGTGTGGGAAAGCGGCTCTTCTTCTGCTGTGACTTAAAAATTGTACTGTCTGAGAAAATCAGCCAGCATTCTGCACCTCAATAGCCTCTTCTAAAAAGGGGAACAGTAACTGGTGACTCAGGGGGAGACCTTGGAATTAAGGGTTATTAATGCTGTCCTTCCAGGCTGTACTGAGTTCTCTTCTCTCTTAGGCCCGGATGTGCACCCCTTGGGCTGGCGGGGACCCTGGGTGGCAGTCTCCCCCATCCTGTCCACTGTCAGGCCCGTGTTGCCCTCTCCTGGAGCCCTGGACCCTTCACTCCGCTTTGGTCTCTCCGGTCCCAGGAGGCATCACGCATACAGGCACTGGTGCTAAGGCAAGGTGGCCCTCGAGGCTTCCTCCAAAGCCTTAACAGTCACTGCCACAGAGACGCCCAGCACCTTTGCATGGCCTGGCCTTTTGGGCCCCTGAGAAGTGGCCCAGAACGAGGGTATCCCTGGTCGTGCTCCCGGGTGGACAGCAGCACTGCTTGTCTGGCTGCCACACTGCTCTGTCCAGGTCACTCACAAGTGCAGACGCCAACGCCCCAGAAGCTCTTCCTCGTGCCCTTCACACCGCAGGGCCTCCGTCTGCATCCCTCAGGGTCCCATCTGAGTGTGTCACTGTCACCTGGCTCTGGCTGGTGACTGCTGCTCTCAGGTGACCGCCCCGCACCGGGGTCTGGTATGTGGTAGGCGCTCAGCAAGTTCTCAGAAGCCGCACGGGGGGAACCTTGGTGAGTCAGGGGCAGCTACAGAGGTGACAGTCAAGCAGGGTCCACCGCCCCTGGAGCCCAGAAGCAGAGAGCAGGCTGCTAGGAGGCTGGAGGACAGAGGGGTGGCCACACAAGGGGCCGCTGCCCCACACGGCCACATGGGGCAGGAGGCCAGTCCCCACCCTGGGTCCATGGGATTGCGTGACTCCCGCGATGCCGGGGCCCAGGGTGGGGACCAAACAAACGCCATTAGCCCTATCTGTGATCTTGAGGAGCAGATAGGGAAGTTTGAGGAGGCCCGAACAGCTCTGCCCAACTGTAAAGAGGCGTGATTGAGGCGGGTCACGGGGAGGTGGCGGTGATTAAGGGGGGCTGAGTCCTGCTCACTTCCTGCCTGGCAGGTCTGTGTGACAGAGGAAGCCGAGGATGGGGATTAGTCACAGTATACACGTTCCTGACTGAGCCCATAAAACCTGGCAGTTGGCTGGGGACCCCCACGGGCAGGGTCTGACTCCCTGGGGCAGGAAGTGGGGCCCCAGTTGGGCCAACTCAGGCAGGCAGGTGTATAACACAGCCCTGGGCAGTGACAGTAACCCCAGACCCTGGTTTCTAGTTATAGCCTTGCAAACATTTCCCCTCCCAGCACCTCACCTCACCCACAAACGCCCTCTGTCACCTCCATCCTTTAGATCCAGGGTCTCTGGCCTGAAACAGTAACGTGGGGAGGGGGCAGGCAGAAGTTCAGACCAGGAGCCTGAGTTTTGTCCCCAGCAAATCTAGGCTTTGGCTCTGGTTTACCTGGGACGGCTGGAGAGAGGTGGGGTGTTTCCTTGGCTGGGAATGGAAAGGCCCTGCAGGACAAGGGACTTAGGAGGGAAAAGATGCAGCCCTTGGCCACCAGCCACCTGAGCCCTGCTTCCCCGTAATAAAAACTCTCTAGAAGAAAATCCTTCAGCAAATACCTATGGGGACCCCTCTCTGGAGGCCTCGAGCCCCCACTCCAGGAAGTCCCCGGCTCTGCCACATAGAAGGGTAGTCACTGCCCCTGCATTCGGAAGACCCAAGTGTAAATCCCAGCCCTAGTTTCTACTCGGCTCAGTTTACCCACCCGAGGAAGGCTGGGCGCACTAGGGGTCCGATCGAATCCTATTTCTCCAGCAGGCCTGGCACGGAGATGGCACCTGGTAAATACACAGAGACCCCACGCTGAGTCAGAAAAGAGCAGAGACAGTCACAGTTCCCGTGACCTCCGTGGGACGTTGGCGCGTGCAGAGGAATGGTTTCTCTGCAGTGCCCTGGAGGGCGGGTGAGCGGCAGGTCCCCTTTTCTGTCACCACACTGGGGCTGTCGTCGCCCCCTCCCATGGCTCTTATGCCTCTCCTCCAGCTCACCTTGCCTCTGCGGGATCTGGCAGCCTGCCGCTGCGCCCACGGTGCTGCCCCTCAGGACTTTTGAACTAGAACTCACTTCTGTTCCGACAGAACAAGCTCCAAGCTTGGCCCACAACCCATGTCAGCTCAGACACGTCTGCTCCTTCGGTTCCCATCCCCACACCACCACCGCCTCCGGTCTGCAGGGCCACGGCCCCCACTTCCCATCAAGCCCCGGCCCCCGGAGAGACCGCAGAGTGACTCTGGCAGGTGCCACTTCCTGCCGCTGGGGTCTAGCTATCCGACGTCCTGAAAAGCTACAACCACCATCACCCCCAGTACACGTGGTGTCCAGAAGACGAGCAGAGAGCACCAGCTGAGTTGGAGCACAAGTGCTTTTCTACTATTTCTCTTTCCCTCCTCTAAGTGACTTCAGAAGAAGCTGTGGTCATCGCCCAGTGGGGAGAGCAGAAAACAGGCCGTGCAACCAAGATGGTGGGGGGCACTGGACGCCCGCCTGCCTGGCCCGGCCCTCCCACTCCTGCCTGGACCCGGCGGTGCGGTGGCAGCCAGCTGTGTGTCCATCCGCTGCATGCTGGGTCCCTTGGTGGCGCGAACCTTGCCAGCCTTATCTGTGTGACCGGCGGCCGGGGATGGCGTGGGCGCCGCCGACAGGAGCTGCCTTCCCGCCTCTCCCCGGGGGGCCAGGGCTTCCCCCCACCCCCTGGGCCCCGCTGCCACCAGATTCACTGTCTCATCCAGGTTAGGGAAGGAGGTCGTGGGACTCAGAGTTTGACTGTGGCCGAGTAACGTTGGGCAAGTGACTTCTCTCCCCTTGCTCGCCAAGGTGGGGTACAGAGCTCCATGTCAGGGGTACCTAAAGGACAGATGTAACCTCCATTCTACTTGAAGCCTTGGGCTAGGTAGGTATGGTTTCCTCAAGTAATTTAACTTTTGAGTGACATGTTAAGCACTAATTTAAAAAGACAGATCTCTGTGTCTGGGTTCCACATGGGTCAGTACAGTGAACCAAGCCTGAATCAAGTTTTGGGGGGATCGTGTCACGTTGGGCGTTCCCGAAACCAATCTCGTGGGCAATGGGGTGACAGCGCCATCGGCCTCGCGGTCACCGCCTCCCCCAGTGGACATGAATGCCACGCTCTGCAGCTGTTGGCTCGGTTGCACTCTGGCTGGGGTTGGGCTGGACCACCGGGAGACATGGTGGATGAGATAAGAGAACGGGTCCTCCGTCCCCAGCTCTCCCGAGTCTCCTCAGGACCTCTCAGGAGTGTGGGAAGCCTCCTCCTCCTCTGTGTGCCCTCCAGCGCTTAGGGATGTGAGGTGAGCCTTGGGGTGGCCCCCACCCCTGAGACCCCCCAATGACTGTGCTGCAGCCCCTGCCCTGAGTCATCTCTCTGTCGCCTGCTAGGGTCCCGAGCACCCCAGGGCGTGCACAAGGCAGGAAGGGGTGGAGGGCTGTTTATGAGAAAAGCTCACATGCCACGCTGGGAGCATAGGGACAGGGGACGGGACAGGAGAGAGCAGGAGAGCCCTGGCTAGTGTCCTGCGGGAGGAGGCAGCTCCTAAAATGTCTCCTTCACCAAACACAGGCCCCATCTGCAGCCCTGGAGGCCTGGCCGGGGGACAGGGCGTGCAGCCCACTGCCGAGCTGTAGGGCAGCGCAGATGATAGCGTGCCGGGCTCCTCCGAGTCCCCTGGCTCCAGCCCACCTGGCAGCTCCGGGCGGCCAGGGACCCTGGGCCGCTGACTCAGCAGCTGGCTGGCTGGGGGCCGATGGGGAGCCTTGGAGCACTGGCCCAGCCCCAGTTCCTGTAATGAGCACTGGCTGCCGCCTGGCCCGGCCCGGCCTCTGGTGGGCAGCCAGGGAGCTTGTCGCCCTGCCAGCCTCCCCAGGAGGGCCCAGGTCATGCCCTATCATTGCTGGGTGGCCAGGTGGAGAAACTGAGGCTCAGAGGAAGCAGTTTCTCAGAGCACTCCTGCAAAGCATAGTTGGAACCCAGGCCAACCCTGGACAGCTGTTCCTGGGCAGTCTCGTGCTTCATTCCCTGGATCAGGGTATTGCTTATCTGTGTCCGTGGGGCAGGATGTGAGGTGGGAGGACTCTTCTTTAAGATTTTCAAGCCAGCTGAGGTGGCGCATGCCTGTGATCCCAGCACTTGGGAGGCTGAGGCAGGATAATCCCTGAGAGTTCAAGGCCAGTTTGGGTTACATAGTGAAAGCCTATCTCAATAAAAAAACCCAAAACAGAGTTTCATGTTCATGGGGCTCTGGGCATGTCACTAGATGAGACCTCTAGTTCCCACAGCAGGTCAGTGAGGCGGAAAACTAGGAGTTTCTCCAACAAGACTAAGAAACTGAGGCCCAGACACAAGACAACTGGGCCTAGGTCATCTAGCTAGAACACGGCTGAGCTGAAAAGCAGATTTCAGTCCTTCCTGTCCCAAAGCTCATGCTTGGCCAGTGCAGCAAGACCAACTCTGCTTCTCCCGGAGACAGCACAGGATCCAGGGAAAGAGACCTCCATGCAGGGGCTCAGGGAGCTGCGTCCGTACAAGCCCCTCTGTTCCCCATGAATGAGCGAATCCCGCCCGATGGCTGGGGGCTTCCACAGGCCAGGGAGGGGTCCCGAAAGGAAGGCGCCCCACCAAGGCCTCGCCCCCCACGGGGCAGCGCCGGGTCTCGGGCCACCAGAGCACGCATCATGGCTTCCGGTGTTGTGGTGACACAGCTTTGGGACCACAGATTCCCGCCCTTGTCCAAGGCCCCTGGGAGCTGTGAGGGACCAGCCCAGGGCACCAAATGGACCCGGGAGACAACACCCTCCTGGGAACCCCGGCCTGGAACTATTTACACAGCTCCAGAGGGGCCGGAAATAGCCGAGTCCTCTCCCCACAGACTCGAATTAGCAATTTTCTTCTTTCTAACTCCTCTGGTAATGCGAACTATGTAATATCGGTCTAAAATTAGCAGCATCAGTCACATGAGGAAAGGGCCTGCTGCTTTTGGAGAAAATGTTTTTGTGGCTTCGTCCTGAGCATTTGTTCCAAATCAGAACACAGCAGTTGTCCTTCAAATGTTTTTCACGTAATATGTGTGGATTTGAGAGACTCTTTCGCACGCACGTTCTCTCTCTCAAAAAAAATTATTTTAAGATAGGGTCCCACTAAGTTGCCCAGGCTGACCTCAAACTTGTGATCCTCCTGCCTCAGCCTCCCGAGTGTCTGGGATCCCAGACGAGCAGCACCATGCCTGGCTGTGTGTGCGCACGCGCGTGGTGCTTGAGATGGAACCCAAGGCCTTGCCAACAAGAAAAGCGCTGTGCCACGGAGCCGCACCCCAGCCGGTCGGTGAAGTGCACTTTAACAACGTTGCCCGTAGCCAATGCCGGCTGGCCTGAGATGAGCCAGGAAGCTGCACAGTGTTTTATAACCATTATTGCATTTAATCCCAGCAACCCCATGGCACGGCACGGCCATTCCGGCTTCACAGGCAGAGAATTCAGGCCTCAGGCTCAGGTTGGCTGGAGCCGTGTGCTATTGGCACTGCGGGTCTGCGAGCCATACCCGGATGTTTCTTGCAGGGTCCCACACGCTGCATGCTGGACAGACCCGGTACCACACGCTTCTCCGCACCAGCACCTGGCCCCCCACCCCCACTGCAGTCACCCACACTTTAGGTTTCAGACCCGTTCAGACCCCAGGTGGCATCAGTGTGCAATAAATGCTTTTGAGTAAATGATTCCTTGGGCTCCTCACGTAGCTTCTCTGACCCCTGGGTGCTCCCTCCTCCCTTCAAAGAAGTTCATTTGCTTCTTTCGTTTTGTTGTTGTTGTTTTCTTGATTCTCGTTATGCACACAGTTCAGGCTGGCCTTGAACTCACTGCATAGCCCAGGCTGGCCTCAAACTTGGGGTGATCCTCCTGTCTCAGCCTCCCGAGTGCTGGGAGTACAGGAGTGCACCACCTTATCTAGCACTTTGTGGTTGGCTTCTTTGAACGCTTAATTTTGTACTCTTTCTTTCTCTTTCCCTTTCTCCCCCATTTTTCGATGCTGCAGCTGGAACCCAGGGCCTTACTATATAGGGAGGAGTCCCAGCCTGAACCACGCTCCAGCCCTGACTTTCTAGAGTTCAAGGGAAAGGCACGGCCTTTCCAGAGCAGGGAGGTGGGATGGCAGGTTTTGAGACAGGGGACTGGAAGCGACCTTGAGGAGCTAAGGAACCAGAAGCGGAAAGAGCAGGGACCTCTGTCCTGGAACCTAGGTCTGGGCTCCTGGGCAAAGGGGAGTACTCTGCAGGCAGGGCCAGGTCCAGGCCAAAGCCAGAAAGTAGATTAGAAGGCCCGCAGTGAGCCACCAGCCTCGGGGCGCAGGAATGAGGTGCAGCGAGTGTGACCCCAGGGCACAGCTGACCTAGGCTTCTAGTCACACCGGGTGGCAGGCAGGGGGAGGGGGTGATGGGAGTCGGGTCGGGCAGTTTCTGCTTTGAGAAGTGCTGACTGCCAATTTCAATTGTGATCTTAGCGCTCTTCCTTTGGCCGTGTCTCCTGGTCTCAAGCATCTCCAGATGCCATCCAGCACGGAGCGTGCCGTCTGGGGTGACGACTTTGCCACACTGATGCCTCCATGCCAGCCCTCACCTGGCCCCCGTGTATATCCAAGACCTCTGTGAGTGGCCCTAGCATCTTTAGCCACTGTTACTTCCCGAGTAATTGTAGCTACTCACCAGCAGTCTGGGTCCCCTCAGGCAGGGTGAGTCCCCTCAACCACCTCCCCACGCAGGTGCAGCTGAGGCTGGACAGTGTTTTAAATCCCATCATCCTGGGCTGGGCTTTAGCTCAGTGGTGCCACTGCCTCCCTCGCTAGCACGAGGTCCCGAGTTAGATCTCCGGTACCAAATTAAAAAAAAAAAAAAAAAGGAAAGAAAGACAAAAATCCCATTATCCTGCTATTGTATTTAGTTTTGGAGTCAGAATCTCTCTATGGTGCCCTCCTGGTTCCAGATTCCTGGGAGCAAGTGCTCCTTCTGCCTCAGCCTCCCGAGCTGGGAGGTGTGTACCACCATGCCGGGCTCCCTCACCCAGAGCCAGTCCAGGCTTTGACTGTGGCTAGAGAAACAGGGTATGAGGATATCGTTTCTCCTCAGGTTCCCTGTTGTCCTGGCCTCACTGAACACTTCAGAACTTGTTTGCCTCCTGAGCATTTTGATGATCACAGCCCCCGAGGGTGCAGAGTACTGAGTAACATCTTGGGAGACATTTGCTGGTTGACTTGTGAGTCGCCCTGGGGCAGCGGGAGCAGGAGGCTGAATATAATGTGTCGTAAAATATTTAGCAAATGCTCTTCCAAGCCACAGGGAAAGAG